CCCCACCCCTCCCGGGTCCAGCTAGCTGGGCTCATCCGCTTGCCCGAGACCCGCGTGAACCCTGCCGCCCTCATCGACCCACCTGACCCGTGTGACCCGCGTGACACGCATCTACCCGCTTTACCCGCGTGTAATGCTCCTATCTCTCGGCAAAGATCGTGTAACGATGTAATTTTCTTATTCCTGAATGGGCCTATGACTTCGTTTCCCAAGAAATCCGTGCAGCGGAAGGATGTTTGGATGTGAGCTATACTCATAAATACATAAATGTAAAAGGATCATAAAAACTCCAAATTGGTGGTACATTGAAGCATCGAATGAAAGAACCCTCTCATTAAGTTGAGTCCCGGGTGGGACCGAGAGAAAGAAAGGACGGGGGGGGGGGATACAAGTGAAGGCTCTGGAAGAGAGAGGGTTTGAGACCAGTTTACAGAGATCCCCCTTTTTCCTGTTCTGGCTCGGCTATCTCGCCTACGAAGTTATTCTGGCAACAAGTCTTCGGTCACATCTTTACTAAGCTTTCGACTCAACCAAAGGTATCTAGACCAAGAGGTGTGAGAACCAGAAATATCCTTTCCGAGTTTGAATTTGTTCATCCTTCGGCACTCCAGTGGAACGGGCGGGCGCCGACTGTGAAGTAACTTCCTCCAAACCTGTCAGTGTGAAATCAGAAAGTCGTCTGTAAAGTCTCATCCCGTGCTGTCTGGGCAAAGCGTCAAACCGAAAGGCCAGGTAAGTGTTGGACCCTGCTTGAATGAAACAGGGTTCATTGGATTTGTTGTTGAAGATCTCTAAGTCCAGAATTATGGTGCTATAAAGGAAGAACTTCCTCGAATTTCTTACATCACATCAGGAAAAAAGAAAGACGGTGAGGGTCTAGATTCGCCCCAAGCCAAGTCTTTCCAATACTTCCTGTATTACTCTTAATCTATTGCCCTCCTGCCCTGGCATTTCCGAAAAAGTCGATAAACTGGTCGCAAATGGTTGACACCTACCAGACAGGTTGGAGATGAATCTTCGTAGATGATACGGACTCGACTCGCTCCTACCCACCCCCAAATAATTACTGTATTTAAAAGCTAAGTTTTTTTTAAAGATCAAAATAATAATTATATTTAATTTAGCACTAAATTATTAAACTTTTTAATTTATTTTATTTTAGGAATATTTTATTTAACAAAATAAATAATTTTAAATATTACTAATTGTCATTTTTCAGAAAATTTTTAATTTCGTCGGAAATCCGCCGGAAAGTTCGTCATAAAAGCCAACAGAAAATGCGCCGGAAATAACTTCAAAAATTCCGTCGGAAGTACGCCGGAAAATCCGCCGGAAATATTCCGGTCGAAATTCATTTCCGCCGGAAATTCTGTCGGAAATGAGCTGTTTTCCTGTAGTGGGTTAGGGTTGACCAGTTTGAACCCAGGTCAGTTCCAAGTTCGACCCGAACCCGACCCGTGACCCGAAATTGACACCCTTAATATTAATTATCTTTGCAAATAATTGCAAAACTTTTTATTTTTTTGGAAAATTGAGGGCCACGTCTAGCATTTCTTTAATAAACTGCTAAAATGATGAATAGATAATCACAGCAGAATATTGTCAAAACCGATATAAAAGCCTTATATATATATAGTCATATGATATTAGATATGTACCTCATAAGATGATTTATTAATAGTGTTTCCAACAATTTGAAGACCTCAAATCAATTCATTCAATGGATCAACAAATTTTGAAAATAGTTCTTTATCATTCAAATTCTATATTATTTTTTCACCATTACTAACAAATGCCATTCTATGCACAAAACTTTCTGTTAAACACTATGTGAGGAAAGATAATATAGTGCATTCCATTTTAATTAATGGTTGTTTGTTTTGAAATAAAATAAGTAAAGTAAAATAAATGTATAGTAAAATCTTAAACTATTTATAATTTATCATTTAGTTCAATTTTTATGTATTTGGAAATCATTAGATTTGATCGATTTACAAATACACTATAAATTTTCTACCATGGCCGCCATCGCTAGCTACAGCCGCCGCCCCCACTATTGGCTATATGTTGTCACCACGACCGCCAGCTGCCAGCTGCCACCGGCCATTGCCAACCACCATCTCCCCCCGCCACTATTGTTGTTGGCCACAAACCACCATCAATATTGTTGACCTTTATATTGCATTTATTTTACTTTAAGCTAAAAAAAAGTTATATATTTATTTTACAGTCAGCCAACACAACTCTAAAGCATTTAAATACATTACATTCCTTTTACACTCTATTCTTTTTATTCTACATTTCTTTTTTAGCAAATCAAACAGACTCTTAATGGATGTTATTCAAATGGATAATGCCTAGTAATTTTTCTTTTATAAATTTTTTGCGTAGGAAATTTTTTTCTCTTCTCACTTTCCTGATCATGCACACATTGTTAAAAAAAAATATTTTATAGAGATCAAGATTAATCATCACTTGTTTTACTCAATTTCGTGCACTTAATAGAGATAATTTAAATAATTATAAAATTAAAGGTTACTTTAATCATATAAATCCTAACAGATAAAAGAAAAGACCACTCTTAAAATCAATGTTGACTATTTAAAATAACATACTATTCTTTAGACGAGATAAGATTGAATGAACTTAATCACTATTATAAAAAACATTATCATCTCAATTATACTAGTAATCAAATAACATTAAGCCAAGCCGACATTAATAAGCTTCTCTAAGTCAGCCCACTTGTAATCCATCTATTTAGCCACATCTCTTTAGACATAAAGAGATATTTCTAAGAGTGAATAAATAAATTACTAAATATAGGGTAATGACTTGTTAATTCAATATAGGACATAATCCAATTTAGAGTGTAAACGAGTTGAGTTGAGTCGAATATCTATATCTAATTGAGCTCAACTTGTTTAGTTCTCATTGAGCTTGAACTCAAGCTTGAGCTTAATCGAGCACATTTACTGAGCTCAAACTCAGTTCATTTGAAAATTATTAGGTTAGAATTTGATCCAATTACTTGAGCTTGTTTGTTAAGCTCGAGCTTAACTTAAGAAATAATTAAAAATACTTAGTGCATATTTTATTATTTATTCTAAATTTAATTTTGAAATATATTTTAATTTAATTAAGTTGCCCGACAAATTTACAAGTCAAGCTAGACTAAGCTAGATTATAAGCTAGACTTTGAGCTTATAACTTGATAAGTTCATATCGTAAGCTCAGTAAGTAGTAGGGGTGTCAAAATTAGGTTGCGGGTCGGATTCAGGTCGAATTCGGAATTGACCCGATGCTATTTCAAAAGACTGAACCCGATCCCGTTTTTACAAATGGGTCAAAAAATTCAACTTAGACTCGACCCATCGGGTTTCCAGATTGACCAGACCCGACATGGGTTATGGCTAAAGACGAGCGCAAAGCCGCGAATTGTAGGAAGGCTAGCTACTCATCTGTCATATCGTTGAAGCTGGAGAAGAGGAAGGGGCAAGGAACATCCAATGTCATAGAAGATTGCACAGCTAGTTGTTTAGCGAGCCGAGCGTTGGCGACCTGAGGTTAGGATCACGAACCAATTACCAATTTGCCAGCAGTAGTACAACGAGGCCGCGTGACAGCGGGATAGGTTGATGGTGAGCCGTCAGGCCGGGTTGACTTGCATACTACGGGAGTGGCGAACGACTAACAATAGAAATCAGGACAGCTGGAGTTCTTATGTTGAACTAGGGTCATTCTCTAATTTCTGAGTCAATCTGAATCCGACCCGATTGACAAACGGGTTGACCTAACCCAAATTTTTGGGTTGTGATTGGGCCATATTTTAGATCGTGTCAAATATTGCCACCCTTATTAACTAGTTGAGCGAGCAGACTCCGCTCACTTCCATAATGCATTTAAATCAACTCATTAATGTTATTTTAATTTTTAGCTCCAGAATAATTTTAATGTGTGCGCTGATTGTACGGCAATCTATCTCGGTACACGTTCCCATAATAGTTAAATCGAATTAAATTACAGACCAAAACTAAACGGAGAAGCAACCAAATCAAATGCCGCTACCTGTTCGATTCTGTCTTTTTCGACAACCCATTTCATTCGCCAGCAACAAAATTCTTCATTCACGCAAGTCACAGCCACCCAAAATTTCACCTCGCAATTCCCACGCCGGGCCGACATGCATGTCGTTATTTAACTCTTAACGTTCCCGTCTCTTTAAGCAAACGTACCTTCCAGCTACCTTTCTCTTTCCGCAAAATCGCGCAGGACGCGCAGAGAAATTTCCTCATGCCTTTTTACCCTCTCCCAGTATCCCTTCTTCCCCTCTTTCCTTCTTCCTTCTCGCACTGAGAGAAAGAGATAGAGAGAAAGAGGCGCACAGAGATTTTCCCCTTCCAGTATCCCTTCTTCCTTTTCGCGGAGATAGAGAGATGGGATTATTTGCCTTCTTCAGATATCTGTTTGGCTGCTTCAAGCGGCTTTCTTCTGGCGATTCCGGCGGGGTCTCGGCACTTGCCAACGACATCGTCAACTTCGAGATCACATCAAAGGTCGGAATCGATATCTAATTTACTGCTCTGATTGGCTTAATTGGTGTTTAGGTTGTCTGAATTTACTTTGATTTGTTGGCCTGAAGGTTCCCGAACAACTGAGCCGATATGTTGTTTCCTCCAAGAAGGCGCAGGAAAATTGGTAAGTAGAAATTATCACCTTAATTATTGTTGTTTAAGTTAATCCAAACTAATAATATGGGTCAGTAATTCCCCCCTCCCTCAAATGGTGAATTTGGATGCATAACAATATAGTGAGGAAATAATTCTTTCATGAAAATACATAAGCTGAAGTAGGAATGAAATAAGAAAATTAATAACTAGATATTTTAAAAATAGGTTCTGAATTCGTGCAATCCTGATTTTTTTACAAGAATACGTGGGTTATAATTAGATTTTCATATCATGAATATATGAGATTTTCTTATAACGATATATGGTCGATGAGCGGCTTCAATCTTAGAAACAAAATGCAAAATAAGTGTATACGTGAAAAAGTTGGAATAGCTCCAATGAAAAATAAGATTAGAGAGTGACAGACATATAAAATGATGGCCTTTTGATGCTTTGGTTAGGAGAGTAGATGTATTTGTTTTAGCTTATGGTAGAAAGGTAGAGGTAGACCTACAAAGACTTGGCTAGAAAATTTTAAAAATGATATTTTTTAATTAATTTATATAAGAATTTGACTTTTAACAGAACTTAATGGAGATAAATGATTCATTTAGTCGACCCAATACCTAGGGAGTAAAGGCGTACCCCATGAAGCTCAATAATTATGGTGGCAATAGAGTAATATTCGATGGAGGAGTTAATATTAGTATTATATTTCTTAGTACTTAAGGAAATGAGGCTTCAGCAAAGATACATGATGTGAGTTTCAACAAAGATACATGATGTGAGTAGTTAGAGTTAGCAAATCATATTTGTTACATACATCAAGAAAATATGAAGTTGAAGTTGTTGGACTAAAGTTGTAATCAATAGTGCCACACATAGTAGCCATTTGATTATAGTAATCACAGGTTGGATGCTGCAAAAATTTAGATAAATTGTTCACCATAAAGGCTATATCAAACTATATAAGAGCTAAAATTATATAAAATTCTCACCACAACTCTATAATTTATTCGATATATTATTGCATTACCTAAGTGAAGAGTTAGCTTTAATGACATAGTAGGTGGTGCGATTATTGATATGCCATTCGACATCTTATTTTGAGCAGATTAATGTTGAATCGGCATTGAAATCAAATTAGTCCATTTTGGGTGCACAACTTCCACTTTAAATAATGCAATGGCTTAAGAGTCCGATATAGTGTCATTAACCAAAAAGAATGAAAAAAAAAAATTTATATGCCAATGTTAGCAGTATATATATTTGGTAATGAAGTTGTTAATATAAACTAGAAAAAAGATAAAATAATCACCAACATTGAGGACATGAAGAGATGTATCAGCCAAAGAGTTACTTAATAAAGAAACAAGAAGAAATATCATAGCTCATTGTATTAGGCATAAGGTGCTTTCTTGAGCAATAGATGATTTTATTAAGATTGCATACAAATTTAGGATGGTCTCTGTCAATAAAATATGATGGTTGGCCCATGAAGGTATCTTCAAATATATATGGGCCTAGAGAAAGACATTATTGACATTGGCATGCATTACAATGAATATTTCAAAGATAGTAATTGTCAAATATGAGAATAATATTTTAACTATCATCATATGATTGTATAAGTGAGGCTCAAATATATGAGAATATCATTTCATAGGCTTAAGAAGACATAATAATGAAGATAAAAAAAAAGGAATATGTTTTACTTTCATTGCATTGACATGCATTGCAATGGAGAATTAGATAGGCTGATAAATAATATATGTAAGAATTGGGAAAGATATATAATCTAATTTATGATGCCACTCAGACAAAATGATTTTGACATTAAAACTATTTATAGCACCTCACTTTAGTTTGCCTTATCAAAGAATTACCTATGTTGTTGGTCCTTCACATGAAAATCAATTAGTAGGAGCACAATAGATACATGGTCTGAAAGGCAAAACTATTATGTGAAAATAAGGTTATTTTTTTACATTTGGTACATAAAGGACATTATTTAGGAGAAAATTAGGAGAGGTAGAACTATGAGTGAACTTATGCTATCTCCAATCATAACATCATCAAAGCATCATATAAGGTGTGATACAAGATAGTGCTAAAATTAAAGGTAACATTGTGAGAAAGAATCAATGTCAAACCACTAATGGAAGTGGCCAAAGTATTGTTGCCTTGCTTTATGAGCGAAATGTTAATGAATAAAAGTTAATGATACATTGATAGACAATCAATCAAAAGTCGAGGCATCAATTGATAGTGTGACATCGAATGCCACATACTTGTTAGTAGTCAAAAGAAGAGTATATGTTATGAATGTTAATTTTGAGAGTGGCAAAAAGGGAGTAATGCTCAGAATCAAGGTTGGGTACTCTAAACGATAGCTATGGCAGCAATAACATTAGGATAAGGATTGAGATTATGATTCATGTGTTTGTCATTTCCAATTAAATAAGTGCAAGATAATAAATAATTTTCATGCAGCCAACCCCACGTAGTGTGACAAAGGCTTGATGTTGTTATTGTACCAAAATATTTAATATAAAATAGTACATAGATGGATATTGGAATAAAACAATAAAATACCTACATATTTAGAAAATAGATTTTGGATGTATGAGATCCTTATTTTCTTCCTTGCATTAATTTATGTAATCCTAATTTTTCATACTTGGCATGAACCCGTAGTAGGATCATAATATTCTAGCATAAATTCAAATGATCCAAATTTTATTTCGTATCATGAATTCGGAAGTTCATGATTTTCATTTTGGCATTAGCCTATGCGTTTAAATAATAAAAAAATTCATAACATATTCATGCCTTCCTGTAAAATTAACCGAGCATTATTATTTATTCCTTCACATGGGATCCATTATGGAATTTTCAGGTACAATAAACTATTGGAAGAATGGAATCAAGCCAAGACAAAACCAGAAACACTGGAGGAGGCAGCTAGGTTCATAATTCAGACATTGAAGGGTCACAAAAAAGCAGATGTGGAGGGACTCCTTGCTTTCTATAATCTCCCTCAAACTTCTCAATCTTCTCAATCTCCTCCCCCTACAGTAGTCTCAGGAGTTCCACCACCACCTAAGCCCCAAGGAGCAAAATTTGAACTAAAATCACTGCCCGTGCGACATAAACTTTATCCTAAAAATTTGAATTTTAAAATTTAAACTTACAAAATTGAACTTAGAGCTAATCTTTCTTCAAATCGATTGTTTCTTATCAATAGGTCGATCTAAAATCTATAGCAGATGGAGATACGATCAACGTTTACGTGGATACCGCCGACCCAAAAGAGTCGCCTACTGTCCCTCGATCAGTTCGAAAAGCAGCCACTGCAAGAGCCAAGGCTAGAGCTGCTAAGGATTACAAGAAAGCAGACGCTCTGCATAAGATCATAACAGATGCAGGATACAGGTAAAGAGAAGTAACTGCTTCACTTAACCAAGTATTAGTAAGTTATAATCCTTCGGTTCGGTTTATGCAGGGTTGTGAATGGACAAAAAGGTGAAGAAACTCTGGCAAGAAAATATCGCATAAGGCTAAGGTACGAAGAATGAACGTTTTCTGATGTTGATTAGGCTTAATTACTAATGGAAGTAAGCAGGGGAATTGATTCTCCTGAGAGCTCCATGCCTTACGGGACGGAAGCTAAAGAAGAACTTGTGAAGTTAGTACAAGGCAAGCGAGTTAAAGTTTATGTATATGGAGATGATCGATATGGCCGTTGTGTTGGAGATGTATACTGTAATGGTACATTTGTACAGGTCAGTGAGACTTTTTATCATTTCATCATATATATATATATATATATATATATATTATATATATATATATGGCATATTTGAGCATTGAACTACCAGTCAAGTAAATAATGTTTATGACAAATGAAACATAAAATAACAAAAAGTAAGTATACGTTGTTCTCTTCTAAAACAGATTGAAAACCACCTAATGCAGCTATATGCTCTCTCATTAGGATCCTTCATAGTTTAGCATTACTACAATTTTCATAATGATAATAAGCAAATTTATAAATATCTCAATAGAAAAGTAAAATGTAAAATAATAATTGCCTATACTTCTCCTCGTCATCATTATGCTGAAAAAGTTTTCTTACAGGAAAAGATGCTGAGAAGGGGTTTTGCATGGCACTACAATGCTTATGACCAAAGACCTGAGCTCGCAGCAGTAAGTCTAGCGGTACAAGTATATTTCACCATCGTTTTCTTCTCTTATTGGTTTGATAAAATTTCCGTGCAGTGGGAGAAAGAAGCAAGAGAAGCCCGTCTTGGCTTATGGTCTGTAGCTAATCCTGAAAAGCCATGGGAATGGCGAAAAAACAAAAGGAATGGCTCTTGAGGATACCTATTAATGAATAAAAATTATGTCAATGCAAATTGTATCAGAATGAGTTGAAAAATCATTGATTTTATTTTGAGATTAGTGCCCCATATAAAAAAATTGTACACTAGCCTCAACAAATTCAATCATTTTCAAGTTCATCTGATACAATTAGGATATCATTGTACAACTTTTATTCCCAAATAATTCTCACGCCGCAGTTCAAGATGATTGGATACAGTTTCAGAAGCTAGCTGAAGAGCCACTGTACACTGTACAGCGGGAATGTTCTGTATGCTGCAGTAACAAGTTCAATATCACAACTGAATAAAAGCTTAAATTAATAAAAAAAAAAAGATTGTACTGCTGTAATATTGCCATGATAGGGTTATTAAACATTCTGTAAAATTAATAAATAGAGTGAATTTATCTATTATTGTCAAAAACAACTTGGTTCTAACAAGTTTGGAACAGCTAACAACTTTTCAGACCACGATAGCGACATATCTAAACTGAATATTATTCTCACTCCTACAAAGTTTAAGCTGTGGACATAACAAGTCTATAATTTGGAGAAAAATTCTAACACAAAGTTATTAAAGTAAGGATGGACAATCACAGAATTGAGCATTTCAGCTAAGTAAGAAAGCAAAGATTACATATTTATCAACACGATAGGGAGAAAATGACTGCTAGAAAATGGATATCATGTTGTGTATGAAATTCGGTTAATAATGTGCTATGAATTCTGATGAATGAAGGCCGGATAGGGATGGAAAGTTGTACAGGCACTGATGCGCTGATGAACAAGAATTGCCACAGAAATGAACAAGAGTCAACTGCAAATGAAATAAAGAACGAATTAGTGGAGTGATTATTATTAATCCAAGCTGCAACAGGATAAACCAAACTGAACACACAATATATCAACTTGAACCGGTTCCATGTGCATGTTCTATTTCACAATTAGAATCCAGAAAGAAATTACATTGCCTTGCACAACTAGAGCTACTTGAAAACCTAATAGAAATATTATGTCCTTTGTTATTCACTTATAACGGTTTTCTTAAGCCTAATATCCATTCACAGGAATTACATTCGAGATGGTTCAAACGATTATCAGATGAGTTTAACAAACAGTGGCTTCAAGAAAGAGAAGATATATATAAATATTGTGAAAGACACGAGTCTTGAGTTTTGAGTTTTGAATGAGATTACTATCAAGCATAAAAGAAACATAAAAAGAGCCTAATAGACTAGGAACCCAACTATAGGCGATTAGATGTTCCAGCAGTGACGGGTGAACCCTCAAACCTTTCATATATGTAATACAATATCCTTTCTTTTCTCTCTCCAAAAAATGCAGCTACATGTAGTTTTTTTTTTCCTCTGAAGATTAATAATCCAAGTAGATATATATATATATATATATATTTCAAGAGTTGAGACCAGGTTTGTGAAGAATTACTTATGAATTGGCCAAAATCCGATCAATTATTGAAGAGTTCAAAAAAGAGTTGTTCCAAAAAAAAAAGACTATATATATAGACATTGTGCACATAGACAGTGCACGTTCTGACTTCTTGAACATTATTATTAGTAGGCTTATAGAAACATTAAAATATCATATAAACTTTAGGACATTGACGGGAACTTGAATGCAGTAATAATGTAAAAATCACGGATTGATGTCAGATAGTTTAGGACTAACATTTTTTAATACAACTAGGATTATACAAATACAATATATGTAAATTACATAAGGAAAATTATGATTTCTCGATTAAAAACAACCAACTTACTATCTTAAAATGCAAACATTAAATAAAAGAATTAGAAATCAAACAAATACATAATAAAAAATTTAAATCATACAAAATTGAAAAGTAATTATTATTTAATCACCGAAATTAAAATCTCAATTATGTCTAAAACTGGAAGCACTAACATGCCAACAAAAAAAAAATATTAGAAGAAATTAGATCAAAGAAGAAGTTCTAAAGCAAAAAATTCAGATCTAATGGTGGAACAAGAAAATAAGTTCTCCCACTAGAATAGCTTTAAGAATAAGATTTACAAAATTGACTAGCTGAAAGTTGGATTTGGATTCACAAGTCTGTTTTTAATGCCCCCTATGCTCCTCCAAGGTGACTTGGTTGTCTAATGCCCAAGGCACTACTAAGTGTCATTTTAGGTGAGCACATGAGGAAAGTGAGTCAATATAAAATTTCACTTATTTTAATTATAAAGAATGATTTTGAACGGTATACTATGAATACATGTCAATGGTGTGCGCCATGGTGCATGGCATTGTGTAATGCGGCGCACATGCAACGTTATTTGATTGGTGCAGCGCGACACATCAAAATAGTGCGCGCTATTTGTGCCATATATGGGCAATGATGCATGGCGCAAAACGGCTCACTCTATTTTATTAATATGGTATAAACTTCAAATTATAAATTATAATTAATTTTTTTAAGGTTTATATATTAATATCATAATTAATTATTAATTAATTAAACATCAAATTAATAAAATATTAAAAAGTGCTATGCGCCATGGCTCCATGGAAAACTTTGATATGTGGTGCGTCATTCGCCATTGACAAGTATGATACTATGATAGTTATTATAAGAAAATATTTAAATATAATAGGAAAAAATACATTTTCAAATTTAGTGGGCTGGAACAACAAAGTCATGTCAAATGACATGCATATAACAAAGTCTAATAAAGCTCAAAAGTTATGTTTCAAGTTTGAACAATCAAATAAAAGCCTAAATTGATAGCTTCTATAACATAAAGTTAATATAATCTTTGCTACTCCCTATTTCATCTTCTTCACTACCCATACTCTCTTCCCCATCATGAAATTTGCAATCCACCATCTCATAATACATGATTGTGCATGTTTAAAAAAATAATAAAAATGTTGCATCACAAATCAAGTAACATCTTACATCTCACATAAGACAACTTAGTTGATCCACTGCATCAACACCATTGGCTCACTTTACTATAAGCTATTATTAATATTTGTATGGCTTTACTCTTAAGAAATTGGATACAAAATGAGTATATACTTGAATAGGATAGAGTAGCTCTAGTGGAAGATTAGATTAGAGAGAGTGGTCTTAGATGGTTTGGTCACATTAAATGGCATCCTTCCGATGACCCGGTTAGGAGAGTAAATGTATTAGATTTGACTAATTTTAAAAAAGTAGAGATAGATCTAAAAAGACTTGGCTAGAAAATATTAGAAATGACATTTTTTTTATTAGATTTAAATGAGAATTTGACTCTTATCAAGACACAATGGAGAAAAATGAATGATGTAATTGACCCCACATAGTAGGATAAAGGCTTGATGTTGTTGTTGTTGTAAGCTTTATGTTTATTTTAGTCCTTTAGCTCTCTTATGTTTTAGCCAATATTAAAGTTAGTACTTATCTAGCAAATGTCATCTTTACCCTATGGGGATATTAAAATGATAGTAGTCAGATACAGTGTAGGCAACTTTTGACAATTAACAATGATTAATGAATGCAATGTCGGAGAGTTGTTAAGAAATAACAACTACCACATGTGATAACCTTTACTTTTGATATTAGTACTGTAAGTTTTTCTTTTGTAATTTTTAATCTTCTTTTCTTAAGTGTATTTATATCATATTATACTATATACTAGTTGATGCATTTATTAAAAAATACTATAAATTACATATGTTATATTAATTATTTATAAAATATAATATTGTATCCATGGTGTATCGTGGCCCTATCGTGCTTTGTTTATGTCACAGTGTCCATGCCATGCTTCATAGTTTAAAGCACTTGAGCCTCACCTCGTATTGCCTAGGCAACAATCACATAGTTTGCCTATGATAACACTACAAATACATGTTATCCACATTAGCACAAAACTTATAATTGTCATAGTCAGCAGCCAATTTTTTATAAATATCCTCATGCAATTCATATAGAAATGACAAGAGGCTAGTAATAAAATGATACAATATTAATATGCATCCTATGGGATACTAATAATGAACTATAACTAATTCAAAGAAAATAAAATGCTAATGCAATTACAAGCAACCAAGCCACGTAAATATGATGTATCGATATGGATACTTTAGAAAAAGGAACCCAAATGGTAAAAATATAAATTTTGATGAATTATGCATCTTTAGTATTGATCAGATGAATGAAATTTTAAATTTTAGCTTTCTTTTAAAGCATTCATCCTTAACAATTTGCCTAAAATATTCATACCACATAATTCTATTCATGAGGTTCATTTTATTAATTTGCATGCCATTAAACTAAAAATCAAAGACAACCAAAAATAAAAATAAAAATTATTCAATCAAAGAAGTAGCATCTATTTATAAATTACTAGTCTATAGGTTCATAGATATGGTTGGCACAATATCAACTTTTTCTAGTGAATTTAAGCAGTAGTAATTGGTAATCTCGTAAAATAGAAGATTGTAATACATGCCAAAAAATAGTAATACAAGCCAAATCAATTTTATGACATAATTTGTACTCCAATGAAATTCTTGTAACATTCCTATAACATGCAAAAATATCTTTAGTAGTAATTTCAAATAGCAAGCTAACGAATAGGCTATTTGATAGGTACCACTTGAATATTTCAAGTAATTCCTATCGCATATAAACCAAATCACCAATAACCTGCTGTTTTCTATGGGAAAACAGCCACCAAACACCAAAAACAGCGAACAAACGTGAAGAAAACTGAGAGAAATTGAGGGAAATTATTGTAGATTGCAAAAACAACGAACCCATACAATGATCCTCTATTCGAGAGGAGGATCCACTATCCCAACGCTCTCTAGATGAAAATCTAGAGCCCAACGACCTCTCCCCGTAGCCTTTCTCCCGAACACAAGCAATAATCAAGATGAAAAACTAAAACCTAGGTTAATTCCCTCTTAATACAATCTAATTCAAAACAAAAGTAAAAGGACATCTCTACCCTTCATTCTCCCTCCAAAAACACTTAAATTTCATTTGAATTGCTAGTGGACCCCACCCCAAGCCCCTTCTTTTCTTCAGCCTGCTCCCTGTTCCGCTTCCGCCTGGAGAAGACCCGGACCGGCCTAACATTACCCCCCTCCCAAAGTACCACCTTGTCCTCAAGGTGGAAAGCAGGAAACTGCTCTGCAATCCTCTCCTGTGACTCCCAGGTGGCCTCATAGTCTGGGAGGCCGCTCCACCTAATCTTCACCTCCTTTTTCCCCTTCTCATTGATGCGCACTCCTTCTACCGCTAGAGGCTCCAATGTCACTTCCATGTCCTCCCTCAATGTGCTGGGCAGCTGTGGGCTCACTTCATGCTCCCCCACCACTCTCCTCAACTGTGAGACATGAAAAACGGGATGTATTCTGGCTGTTGGAGGAAGCCTCAATCTATAGGCTACCTCTCCAATTCTCTCCTCCACTTCAAAAGGGCCAAAATATCTTGCTGCAAGTTTCTCATTTCTCCGTTGGGCCATAGTCCTCTGTCGGTATGGTCGGAGCTTCAAGTAGACCTTGTCCCCAACTGCAAACTGTATATCTCTCCTTTTGCTGTCCGCCTGCTTCTTCATAAGTTGCTGGGCTCTAAGTAAATGCCTCTTGAGCTCTTCCAACACCTGATCTCTTTCCTTCAAATGCTGATCCACTGCAGATACTGGAGTACTACTATGGCTGTAGTGTACCAAATGTGGGGGTCCCTCCCACATAACACTTTAAAAGGTGTCATCTTAGTCGCCGAGTGAAAGGAGGTATTGTACCAGTATTCTGCCCAAGCTAGCCATTTGGCCCACT